GCAGTCTCTTCCCCCTCCACCTCCTTCTCAATGTTGAGAAAAGCTCAGAAATTGTTTGTTTTTACAAAACATTTCCCCCCCCCCTTTGAATCACAAACTACAGTTTAGAATGAATTTGGAATCCTTGTTTGGAGATGCAAAACCCATCATAGTTTATGGTTTGGGTGTGTCTATGGTTTGCCATGAAAGTGGAAGTGAGATTTGGGAACTATTCCTGTGACGAGGAGGAACTATGCAAGTCCAAAGATTTCCAGGGCTCATCTTTATAATGACAAACCATCACCCCACACTAATGCTAATGTATTTCTGCTGTTTACACATTTGCAGATTTCTCTTTCTGTACCTTTATCTCTTTGATCTGTTTGTGCAGAATATTTCTTAGCACCCTTCTGTACATGACATATACAATTAGAGACTGCAGTCAGACTGGCAGTTTGGCCCAATACAGCTACGTTCACCTAATGGATTAAACCAGCAGGATCACGCAGCAACATCTGTAAGCCGTTCCCCAGTCGTACTCACCCTGTTTTACGATGAGTTGGAAACGGAGTAAATAGACACCAAATAATGTGGTGTTTCCAGTTCCCCATGCATTCATCATGCATGGCCGGATGTCTGAATGCAAGGAAGTGCACACAGAATGGATTGGCAGTCTGAACCTGCAGATCCATTTCAGCCACTGGGGAGGGGAGTGTCTGCCTGTATGCGCATATGCACACACACACCTGCATTTTTAAAAAAATGACTGGGCAGCACACTCCATGGCTGAGGCATTACAGTAATGTGAATGTGTGCCCACGGGATGGATGTGCAGGTGATCCTCAGCAGGGTGTACTGTCTGGTTGGTATGCCCCACAAAACTTTAAAGTGCTACACTTAGAGGTGGAGCCATATCACTCCAAGCCACCAGTCTGTCTACAGCCAGAGACTGCTTACACTCATGACCTCCTTTCTTACTCATGACCCTGCCTTGTATAATGGGAGCTGTTTGAGCTTTTCTAAGCCTCTGAGACCATTTTCCATTAAATGCAGGAGCCATCCCTTCCTTTATAGAATAGTTTCCAGCCTATTAATAATGGGGAAATAGAATGACAGTGATGCTGTTTTTTTGAAGTGCATTATAATTTTATTATGCTGTATTTGCATTTCAGTGGAACATATTGAAAGAACACAATAGCATGGCCCCAAAGTGTTCTGAAAATCAAAGTTGCCTCTGTACTGTTCCCAGCTACCCAGGGGCAAGTCCAACAAAAAGCCAGATATATCTCCATGTCACCTGGCGCTGTGATCTCTGGAATCCAGCTCATCACCACAGCTGCAATGTATAAAGTATGGATTCAGTAGTTTTGAAGTGAAATACTACTCAACAGCCCTTTGACCAGGAAAGAGTCTAAAAGAAAACATGAGGGCCTGTGTGCTTCATCTTGCTTTAAAGTGCAAGTTGCTGGCCAATCTTTGGCATGTTAATTGATACAATAATGACTAATTGATGTCTTTGCTTTTATTTACATCAAGTTGAAAATATTCTGGAGCTTCCTGTGGGACCTTCAACATAATATTTTAAACTAGGAATAAGGCTTGTTATAGAAATAAATACAGCGAGCTCTAGAAAGAAGCTCTGGCAGAGTGCCCAGGCCTTGGGCACTCAGCACCAGTTTGCTGTGGCAACCGCAGCAGGGTATAATGACACAGAGTCCACCATTTTCTCCAGGGGAACTGATCTCTGCCATCTGAAAAGCAGTTGTAATTCTGCGTGATATCCATCCCTCCCCTGGAGACTGGCAACAATGGTTCCCCATGGGGGAATGGCTGGTTTGGAGGGTGGAGTCTATGGCATTGTACCTGTCTGAGGTCCCACCCCTCCTCAAACCTTACCCTCTCCAGGTTCCACCCCTCAAATCTCCAGGAATTTGCCAACCTGGAGTTGGCAACCTGATCTCCCTCCCAGCCAACTGTCAACCTACCGTTATCTGCCCCCTGGCTTCAGCTTTCCACCTCCTCCCCCTCCCTCCTAGAGAGCAGTTGTAATTCTAAGTTATCTCCAGCCCCCACTTGGAGATTGGCAACAGTGATTCCCCATGAAGGAATGGCTGGGTTGGAGGGTGGAGTCTATGGAATTGTACCTGTCTGAGGTCCCACCCCTCCTCAAACCTCACCCTCTCCAGGCTCCATCCCTCAAATCTCCAGGAATTTCCCAGCTGGAGTTGGCAATCATATCATGGCTGGCCCCAATGAGTTTTCCCCCAAAGGCCAGAACAGGTGTGAAAAGGGACTTTTAGTGACAGAACGTGGTTGCCTAGCAACAAGCACTGAGGAGAAAGCACAGCTGCCACCTCTGATTAGGGAAATACCTGGAGATTTGGGGGGGGGATCCTATGGAGGGCAGCATTGGGGGGGATGGAAGGACTCAGCAGGGGATAATGCCACAGGGTCTACCCTCCAAGGCAGCCATTTTCTCCAGGGGAACTGATCTCTGTCATCTGGAGATCAATTGTAACAGCGGGAGATCTCCAGGTCACATCTGGAGATTGACAACAATGGTTCCCCATGAGGAAATGGCTAGCTTGGAGGGCAGAGTCTATGGTACTGCACCTGTCTGAGGTCTCACCCCTCCTCAAACCTCACCCTCTCCAGGCTCCATCCCTCAAATCTCCAGGAATTTCCCAGCTGAAGTTGGCAACCTTATCAGGACTGACCCCAAGGAGTGTTCTCCCAAAGGCCAAAATAGGTGTGGAAAGGGCCTTTTAGTGACAGAAACTGGTTGCCTAGAAACAGGCACTGAGGAGAAAACACAGGTGCCACCTCTGATTTGGTGTAGTGGTTAAGTGTGCGGACTCTAATCTGGGAGAACCGGGTTTGATTCCCCACTCCTCCACTTGCACCTGCTGATGTGACCTTGGGTCAGTCACAAGCTCTGGCACAGCTGTCCTTGAAAAAGAGCAGTTTGTGTCAGAGTTCTCTCAGCCCCACCCACCTCACAGGGTGTCTGTTGTGGGGAGGGGAAGGGAAAGGAGTTTGTAAGCCGCTCTGAGACACCTTTGGGTAGTGAAGGGCGGGGTATAAATCCAATCTCTTCTTCTTCTTCTTCTTCTTCTTCTGATTAGGGAAATACCTGGAGATTTGGGGGGTGGATCCTATGGAGGGCAGCATTGGGGGGGGATGGAAGGACTCAGCAGGGGATAATGCCATAGTGTCTACTCTCCAAAGCAGCCGTTTTCTCCAGGGAAACTGATCTCTGTCATCTGGAGATCAATTGTAGCAGCGGGCGATCTCCAGGCCCTGCCTGGAGATTGGCAACAATAGTTTCCCATGAGGGAATGGCTGGGTTGGAGGGTGGAGACTATGGAATTGTACCTGTCCAAGGTCCCACCCCTCCTCAAACCTCACCCTCTCCAGGCTCCATCCCTCAAATCTCCAGGAATTTCCCAGCTGGAGTTGGCAACCTTATCAGGACTGGCCCCAAGGAGTGTTCTCCCAAAAGCCAAAATAGGTGTGGAAAGGGCCTTTTAGTGACAGAATCTGGTTGCCTAGCAACAGGCACTGAGGAGAAAGCACAGTTGCCTCCTCTGATTAGGGAAATACCTGGAGATTTGGGGGGTGGATCCTATGGAGGGCAGCATTGGGGGGGGGGGATAGAAGGACTCAATAGGGTCTACCTTCCAAAGCAGCCATTTTCTCCAGGGGAACTGATCTCTGTCATCTGGAGATCAATTGTAACAGTGGGAGCTCTCCTGGTCTCACCTGGAGATTGGCAACCCTAGGGGAAAGTCAGCCGCACAGTAGGGTGTTGAAGAGAATGGTTTGATGGTCACTGGCCCACCTCGTTAGCCAGCCAGCCAGCCATGGTGGAGGCAAAAAGGAGAGATGTTTTAAGTTAATTCTGACAGGAAAGTGTTTTTTTACTGACAGAAGTTGGTTGCCTACCAACAGCCACTGAGGAGACAGTTAGTAGTTAGTCCCACACAGGAGCCAATATAAGTGTCTTCCTCAGGAGAGAGTCCGGCTTTCCAGGAGCTGCAGCTTGTTTCCTCTAGGCCATACTCTCCCTGGCACTGGCGCTGCTGCTGAAGGAAGGCAGGGGAGCCTTTGAAAGGTGCTGGGCAGCCTTCTCTGTGATGCAGCCCGCTGAGCTATCACCCTGACGAAGTGCAGGCCTTGCGGCCAAGGGAGAGGGGCCACGAGGGGCAGTGAAGGTGAGTGCTTCCCCTGCTTTCCGCTGCTCGCTAGGTCTGCCTCCTTCTCCCCCGTGGAGGGGTTGCTGCTCTCTCGGCGAAGCATCCATCCCCTTCGCCAGCTCCCTCAAGACTGAGGGCAAAACACTGCCCGCCGGTTCAGTGGGCGGGGCCGAGCCAACGCAGCGAGCCAATGCAGCCACCAGATTGGAAGACTGTGAGAGTGGCAGATGAGCGGGCGAAAGGCTGTGGAAGCATGTCCAGGAGGGACACCAAAACTCTTTTATTATAAGAAGAGATACTACACAAGGCAGAAGCGATAAAAGGAAGCTGTTTCAGATGATATGTGGTTGTAATGCTAATCCAGCTATTGTATCATATATCTGATTGAGCTGAAGCATGGAAGTGCTTTTTCCATATGTTTTTGCCCCGTGGGCCCTTTTCTGTGATGGTGGGGGATAAACAGGTTTGCCATGGATCCAGGCAGCTGTGCTCCCCCTCGTTCCAACACCCACTCTGGTGCTCCAGAGCCAGCCTCTTCACTGCCCCAATCAGCTGCTGCTTCAGCACCTTTTTTTCCTTTTCACATCAGTCTTCTTCCTGGGAACCAAATCAAACTGGGTATGTGATGATGTCCCATTCCTGAAATAAAGAAGAGCAGTTCCAATTTTACTAAATAACATGATAATATTATGATAACTTTGAGAATTATATGCACATACACGTACATCCCCCCCCCCGAGTTGTTGTGGACTTGGAAAGCCGTTGCAAATGCATTCCTTGTGAATTAAAACAAAGGGTTCATTTCTTATTGTTTTCTTTCCCTAGGCTGAGGTTCAGCTATGCTATCTGGAAGCACAAAGAGATGCTGTTGAACAGATGTCCTTAAAGCTGTACAGCGAGCAGTACAACAGCAGTAGCAAGCGAAAGGAAGAGTTTGCGGATATGTCAAAAGTTCACACAGTGGGAAGTAATGGGTAGGGAACTATTCTTTTTGTTGTTTTATTCTCAGTGATCTGTATTTTTTAAACATGATCTTCTTTTCCTTGCTCCTGTGCTACAGAGGAGGGTTTTTTTCCTACTAAGCCAAGAACCAAAGAATCATACATTCTTCTCTCCTGCTTTCTCTCTCCCTCCCTGCCACTGTATACACACACATACACGCACACTCAAAATGTTATGTGTGTGTGTGTGTGTACAGACCCATAGCCATATGTTGACTGATTACCATAAAGTATGCCTAACCACTGCTGCTTCTTATTTTAAGATTATTTTAAACAATACGGTCAGTATGTGAGCCTTGGTCCTTCCTTTCTTTGGAATCCCCAATGTACCCTATCAACAATTTATTTAAAGACATAAACCAATGTAAGGTTTGCCTTGTTGGATCACACCAAGTATCTTTCTTCTCCATGTCCCTGAAGAACTTGGAGTCATGCTGGAGACCCATCATCTGATAGTAAAACCATAGTATGCTGTCTTTGAATATAAAAGTTTAATTTTTAGTTCTCATGGCCAATAGCCATTGTAGATTCCTATCCTGCATGAATATTTCTAATTGCTTGAGAAAGTCATATAGAATAGTGGTCTCAGCAAGATCCTGTCTCCATGACTTCCATAAGTTAATTATTCATTACATGACTTATTTTTAAATTTGTGGAATCATTTCCCAGTGGATTATTAAAAAGAAAGAGGCACGTTATCCCCAAGCCAAAAAAAAAAAGTTACTAGACATTTTTATGGAAAGAAGATCATTCCATTCTTATTTTTTGTGGTTCACCTCTTTTCTATCATATGTCTGTCAAATGACAATCTCTGGCAAAGCTCCAGAAAACTTTGGAGGTCAAGTGTCAGCAAGCTGCCAAGTGTTTTTTTCCCCTACTTTCACTTTCATGCGCATTCCTTTCCTTGCGCTTAATTGCTTTGCCACAGCAACACGTATCTTTCAAGGCCGCAGGAGGAGATCTGCTGTAGAGGTTGCTTGGGTTATCCCTCGGATGAGTCGTGGGAAGTTTTACCTGTTATGCTTATTAGTACCATTAGTTCTCAGGCCTAATGCCGTGCGCGGGAACTCCCACAATTGGGTCTTGCTGATTTGAATGTACTATATCCTGACGTGCTCTCTGGTTCCAAGTCATTCCTAACAGTGTTCCTGTCAATGCACCTTTAGCTTCAATAAAAGTAAAACCTTTCTACAAGTGTGTACTTCGTTGTTGCTGTGGGGACCTGACAACAAGTCTTCCCCCATGTAGAATAATGGCTAAACATGCACTGCCAGAGAGCTGTGGGCTGCGCTAAATGGATGGTAGACCTGGTCTCCAGAGCCCAGTAGCCACATTAGCATAGGAAATAATGGCCCTTTAAACTCCAGAGACCAGGTCTACTGCCCATTATTTATAGCACCTCCTCTCAGCTGTTTGGCAATGTAGTGTCCTTGACATTTTAAAGGACCATTGTTACCTATGGGGTATGTTACCTGGCTTTCAGAGTTTGGAGTTCAGCGCTTCCCACAGTGAATAATGGCCTTTCAGAATTTAAAGAGCACATGTGCCAACAAACAGTTGTTTGCCATGGGTGCACGTCCTCTCTCCCCTCACCGCTCCTGCTGCCTCATTGGGAGAGAATGTCCCAGTGTTCTGGCTGGGACTCTGTGCTAAAAATAACAAGAAAGGTTTCTATGCCAATGTTTAGATCAAAAAGAGCAGGGATGGGGTAAGTTCATTGCTAGGAATTACTCAACTCTCACTTTGTGTTGGTCTTTAACTGTAAGGAACTGTAAGGAGAGCTGTATACAAACTGAAGAATGCAGGACATATGAAGGAAGGAGGAACTGCCAGTCCAGAGTAAGTAAGGAAATGGTTAGAGAGCATCTAGCTGCCTTAAATACTTTCAAATCTCCAGGGCCAGATGGCTTGCATCCCAGGGTGCTAAAAGAAATTGCAGATGTTATTTCAGAGTCTCTGGCTCTAATCTTTGAGATTTCCTGGAGTACTGGTGTTGTGCCAGAAGACTGGAGAAGAGCGAATGTTGTCCCGATCTTCAAGAAGGGATAAAAAAACAGACCCAGGAAATTACAGGCCTGTCAGTTTGACGTCAATACCTGGAAAAATTCTAGAGCAGATTGTTAAACGCTCTGTCTGTGAGCACCTTGAATGAGTTAATTGGTAGTAGCCGGCATGGGTTTATCAAGAATAAGTCATGCCAGATCAACCATATCTCCTTTTTTAACAGAGTTACTAAAATGTTTTGACTCTGGCAATACTGTGGACATAGTGTATCTAGATTTCTGTAAAGCATTTGACAAAGTTTCTCATGATATCCTTGAGGATACTGGTTAAGTCTGGGCTGGATGGTGCAACTGTTGGATGGATTCATGGTTGGTTGAAAAATCATACCCAACGAGTGATCATACATGGCTCTGCGTCTATGTGGAGGGAAGTCACGAGTGGAGTGCCGCAGGGCTCGGTCCTAGGCCCGGTGTTGTTCAATGTTTTAATAAATTACCTGAAGAAAGACATAGAGGGGATGCTTATCAGATTTGCAGATGACACGAAGCTGGGTGGGATTGCTAATTCTGAAGAAGACAGAGTCAGATTTCAAAACGATCTAGATAGGCTGGAACAGTGGGCTGAGACAAATAAAATGAATTTCAATAGAGACAAGTGCAAAGTCCTACACTTGAGTACAAAAAATCAAAGGCACAGGTAAAGAATGGGAGGGACTTGGCTTGACAGCAGCACATGTGAAAGGGATCTGGGTGTTCTGGTTGATCACGAGCTAAACATCAGCCTGCAGTGCGATGTGACTGCGAAGAAAGCTAATGCAATCTTAGGATGCATTACCAGAAACATCGTGTCCAGATCACGGGAGGTGGTAGTTCTGCTCTATTCTGCTATGGTCAGGCCTCACCTGGAGTACTGTGTCCAGTTTTGGGCACCACATTTTAGGAAGGATGTTGACAAGCTCGAGTGTGTCCAGAAGAGGGCAACTAGGATGGTGAGAGGGTTGGAATCCAAGTCATGAGGAAAGGCTGAAAGAGTTGGGTATGTTTAGCCTGGGAAAGAGAAGGCGTAGAGGGGACATGATTGCAGTTTTCAAGTACCTGAAGGGCTGTAGGGCTGTAGAAGATGGATGTAGAAGATGGAGCAGATCTATTCTCTCTTGCTCCGGATTGCAAGACTAGATCTAATGGGTGGAAATTACAAGGGAGTCGTTACCAGCTAAATATTAGGAGAAACTTCCTAACTGTAAAAGTGGTTGAGCAGTGGAACAGACTGCCTCAGGAGGTGGTGGATGCTCCTTCGTTGGACGTTTTCAAGTGGAGGCCGGGTATGTTGTAGGGCTATCTTTCGGCTATGCTCCTGCAGAGTGCAGGGGGTTGGACTAGATGGTCTGCAAGATCCCTTCCAACTCTAACATTCTATGATTCTATGATTTTATGATTCTATAATGGCACATATTCAATCTGTGCTGCACGAGCTGCACTGTACCAAATCAGGTTCAAGGTTCTGGTGTTAACCTTTAAGGCTCTAAATGGTCTGGGACCCACATATCTTCAGGACCACCTCTCCTGGTATACCCCCCCTCAAAGAGCATTGCACTCTGCATATAAGAATTTACTGGTGGTCCCTGGCCTGAGAGATATCCAGCTGTCCTTGACCAGAGCCAGGGCAGTTTCCACCCTGGCTCCAACCTGATGGAACTCTCTGCTGAATAACATCTGTGCTTTTCAGGCCTGTAAGGCAGAGATGTTTTGCCAGGCATTTGGTTGAGTGCAGCGATGGTTTCCATCTGTCTGGCACTCCCATTTCTCTGGCCTCCCCCCTCCCATGGGGCAGTAACACAGTCAGAAGCTCAGCATCATCTACCTAGGACAATTGTTGTATTTTATTGTATTCAAATTATGAACTTCTTTTATGAATGTTTTTATTGTTGTACACCTCCCTGAACCCTGCTTTTTATATGGGAGGATGGTTTAGAAATTTAATTAAAGAAATAAAGTGGCAATAATAATGATCCCCAAATTCCACAATACAAATAATGGACCTGAATCAAAATCCTGAACCAATAACAACATTCCCAAAAATTCTGGATATTGAAAAGCATGCCCTTGACAAAATCCCATAGTAAAATTAGCATGAATTTTTTTTAAGTACACGCCCCAAGTCACAGGAATGTATAGTGGGAAGAGGAAGATGGCATCAAAGGGCTGCACCGACAGTGTCCTTGCAAATGTTCTTTATGGGATTCAAACCTTAGTTATATTTTTATATAAGTTAAAATTTCTCGTAATTCTCTGTGTTTTCAGCTTCACTTATTGTTCAGTGCATGTTAGAAAGGAAAACTTTTCAGACCAACATGGACTGCTGTTTCTGAGGTTGGCACAGCAGAATGCAAGCTAAGATTACAAGAGTAATCTTATTGGAAGAGGTGCAGGGCAACATAAACTATACATTTCCTGTTACTAAGTCAGTACTCTAGAAATTCAGATGAGATCAGTGTCCAAAGCGCTACATTATTCAAACAAGGTTTAGATTTCAAACCATAAAGTGCTTTGGCACATTAAGTTGTCATTATTTAAATGGCATGATGCTCTGATTATTAAAGTGCATTACCATAATCAAAAAATCCAAATGGCTTAGCTATGAAAGTGCATCACTCACTTAAGTGATAACAGCAGTTTATTAAAGTGTAATCTCACAGGCCAGAGCTCTACATGACTCTGAAACATGCATAGATCTCCATGTGAGCAATGGCTTCTATTCTCTTTAAGATCATGGAAAGGCCTATGGGTCTATCCTTTTGCACACCTAAAACTGAAGAATGAGGAACAGAGAATGAGGAAACCCATGTACATAAAGAGCTCCACTGTAACCCTATCTGTGCATTGAGAGCCAGTTTGGTGTAGTGGTTAAGTGTGCAGACTCTAATCTAGGAAAACCAGGTTTGATTCCCCACTCCTACACTTGCACCTGCT